CTGCTGGGCGTTGGGAAGCCCCAGAGTGACTCCTGCCACGTACCTGATGTTATGGCTTATATTTTTACTGTCTGAATAGACTTGCCTAAACTTGTCTAAATGCAGCTGATGATGGATGGCAAACCCAGCCCAGCAGAAGACTCAATCTTTAGATTTTCACATCAGACTGATAAAACCCATGACTGCTACATCTGCTTAAACCTGGAAACCTTCACACAACTCAGAGCAACTTTTTCAGAGGTTCGTTTTACAGACACAGGAATTTGGGTGCACACCAGAGTCGGCGGTTAAAGCACTCATCAAACCATTGCATTTTTGATGTCTTGATTAGACCTTGCAAAGGGTTTAGTAAGAGTACAGAAAAGCACTTGCTATCTGTACTTGTGGTTTTTATGACAAAGCATCTGTAAATCTTCCGTAGGAGACTGGAAATAATACCTGTCTAAGATAAATTAACTTTCTGACATGAATATTTCTGTTACTCTTTTATTCCCTCAGGAGTTTGGTTAATTAAACATAATTGGGAGGATTATTTAATCAACATCACCCAATATTAAGTCTTGATAATTCCAAGAGAAAACATTGTATGTTTGTAAACATATACAACTTCCAAAATAAGTCATTGGAAAAAGAGTAAATAAATCGAGATTACTGAGCACGGTAGAAATGTCCCTTTTTGCAGAAGCTCACTCCTGAAAATGGGCATCCCCAAAATCAATTAAATCTTCAACTCAGCTCGCTGGGAAGATGAGTGTGAGAGCAAATGAATGCCTTGCAGGACAACAGCAAACTGTTGATACACCTGTGTTTTGCCCTCTAGTTTCCAGTCACCCCATCGCTGCAGAAGAAATCAAACGCTTTCCTACATGAGTGCATGTAGTGAAGAGCAATGGCAGCGCTGGAGGTGGGCTCATTCGCAACATGGGTTGCGTTCTGATAGAGCTGGATTTTTTCAGTATTTACTATGCAAACAGCATAAGGTTCGTACAAGAAGTTACGTTCAGAGAAATTAATTTCATCTCACTAACACGAGATTCTCTTTGGAGGCAGAGTAGAGGGCAGCCTTCCTCCCCTGCACCTCCCGGCGCTGTTCTCCATGACCAAAAGAGTCTCTCTGACCTCGCACATCTCCGCGCACCTCTGAGTGTACAGAAAAAGCATATGGGCTGACGTAATTGCCACCGATGACTGTGCGTGAATCTTCCTCTGCACCACTCTCCAATATAGGTCAATACTGAACATTTGCCACAGGTATGCTGTTTCCTAGAAAGGGCTTTTGCAGGTTTCTTAGAACAGACTTGTACATTATTTTGTATGGAATCTGTAGATTCATACATTGCGAAAGTCAGCACAGCGGTTGGATGCTCACGGTTTTACAAAATGCTATTGCAGTTTAAAGTTTAAGGCTTTGGGGAGATTTTTTTAAACCAGAGATACTAAACATCGAATGAGCCAAACTCAGAGATGCATTTGCAGAGGATAACCTATATACTGACCCTGTAACCCTCTGTAACTGGGTTATCTTTTTGAGGCTCTTCCTTTGCCACCAACACACAGCTGTTCTTACTCATCTCTTGCAGAAATTTGGAGCAAAGGTTCTGCAAACCAGGATGTATGTACGAGACCTGGTCAGCAAAACGCACTAGTTGCCTTCATAAAAAAAAAAGCACGAAAGAATATTTAAATAAGATAGCCATAGCCGAGCCTGTGGGACATGATACAATTAATTTTTGAGCTCCTTAAGGGTCTCCGCAATGTGACTGTGGATGACTGCCAATAATCCTGGAAAACCCGGAGGACTGTGGGAATTTCTGGGAGTGGAGAAAGGTAAACACAGCCTGGGGCCAAAAGAAAGCCGAGGAGCTTATAGAGCAGCCTGAGCTGCGGGAGGATCTGGGAACCAATTCTCCATTGGTTTCTTCTACTACAAAACAAGGTGATTCATGAGTTTTAAAATAGTCAGTACGGATTTGGGGTGACACAATCTGCTCCTCACAGTTAAACTGTTCTTTGACAGACTGCCTGCCCTCGTGGCTGAGGGGGAAGGTGGTGCTGGGCTCCTGGCAGTGCCTGACGTGCCAGGCTCAAAGGCTGAAGTGTCTGAAGACATTTCGTTCAGAGGTTGAAACATCTCATCATTGCGGACCACTTCCTATCAAACGCAGGGAGTGCACGGGGGGTTTCACAGGGAGGTTTCCTGGCCCAGCTATAACTAAAAAAAAAAAGTAATAATGATGTATTTGAATCATAAAACAGGGACAATCCTTACCAGATTTGACTGTGATGTGCTCTTGGGAAGTGCGACACTTACGGAGGCAGATGGCCAAGACACAGACAGAAACCAGCCACGCAGCACCGAAGGATCACAGACATCAGCAACGTTTGCCTGGTGCGGAATTTTTTCTCCCCCCCCCCTTTCTTTTTTTATCCTGCCTCACATTATATACATGTGCCAACTCCCTGTGGGACATACCAGCAGGCAGCGGAGATGTACGACATGACAGACCCTTGCTCTGTCCTGCACATCCCCGGCAACAGGAGCGTCTCGCCCCCGTAACGCAGAAGCCTTTCCCCGATGAAGCACCTCCTCAGAGCGGTGATGCTGACACCAGACGGCGACACTGTTTTTCCATAACCTCCTCAGCGCAGCTATTTGCTTACTCTCACAATCTAGATTGAATCCAATAGAGTAATCATAAAACTCATAGTCCTGGCATTTATCTCAGATTATCAACCCAGAGTTTAACGCTGCCTTATGTTTTTTCTGGCAAGTGTCTTGATTACAGGATGGTGTGAGTCACTGCTTTATGCTGGCCAGTTGTAAATCACTTGCTGCATTTGAAGTATTCTTACTAATATGTTTTACACCTGTTGGTTTTCCTCCTGGACCACTCATCTCTCTCTCTGTACGGTCTCTCCCTCCTGCCTAAGCTTTCAGCCGGTCTTCAGCCCTCGCCTGGACACCGGGTCCCCTGCCTCGGTGTGAAAGTATGTCCAGAATGCTAAAAAATTCATCCTGAAATACGCGTGACCCTGACAGCTGCATTAAAAATGTTGGGAATTACCAGAGAAGTGTCATAGATTATTGTAGGAATGTGGAAGGGATTATTAAGCATGGCCAAAATATTAGTGAAATGATGAGGAAATTATAGCTCATTGCTGGAAACTACCCTTCAGATGAAACATATAGATATGGGGAACACTGAGGTGGCTGGAAGAAAGCTGACTGATGATGTGATTTGATAATGTGTTAACTTAGGAGATATGCTTTCTCCTTGCCCCTCTAACTTCTTGTTTTTTAAAGACTGTGCCATCGACAAAGTCAGTGCAATCCCTTCCATATTACAAGAGGAGAAAAGCAGATTGTTATAGGAGGGTCGACATTTCAGGAGCTTAATGTATTCAGTGAATTTAACGAAATGCATCCTTGAGATGGAAAAACGCAAAACCACGTGTGACTTGAACATAGCTGATAGCACAGGAGCTAAATGGAGGGAGAGCATCCAGCTGCCTGACCTGTAGGTGATAAAGCACCCAGGCTAAGGGGATGCTGCCCTCCCCAAACAGCCCCGTGCCTGAGGTCCAACCCGAATAACACCGCAGCCCGCTCCAGGGACAACTTGATTTTGAAAGGTCGCTCAGTTTCCAGAGGGCAATACCAAACAAACGAAGAGCAAAGCAGATCATGTCAAGCATAATGTTTGGAAAAAACAGTTTGTTCTTTGGACTTCTACTTTGGTTAGTAGAAAAACATTTATTGCAACTTTTGCTCAAGACTACAGCATGTTTTCAGGAACAAACTAGGGGAAAATAACTGAAATTACTTTATTAAGTATATCACTGCTCAAAAGAGCAGGTAAGCAACAATTCTCCATCAGCTTGCAAGGCTGTACCAAGCCCTGGCTGTAAGCATCTGCTCTGGGTCTAGCATTAGTCAGGATTTTCATCAGCAATATTGGATTAAAGAGCAAAGTATACCCTAACAAAATTTCTGGATGACAGAGTGTCTGCTCCTACTACTTGCTCTGTATGTGGGCGAGGCACGGGGAAAGTACTGAGTTGAGGATTCCTTTGCCTTCCCAGGAGATGGCTGTAACCTCATCCAGCACCTGCAAGTGCATTCTCTGTAGCCCGGGAGGTAATAAATATCCTGATAACGCTCTGACACGGAAACTGCATTTTCAGACTTTAAATAAAACATGGCAAATTACTGCTTGGTTCCCATCTTCGCTTGTAGCCCAAGACTGAGTCAGTCTCCTGGGAAGGCAAAGTCACAGAATTCCCTGTAGAAACTGTACAGAATAGTTATGGTAGTTTTAATATAAATGTAAATGTAATAAACTGTAAAAATGTAACCATGTAAAAATGTGAAAAAGTGAAAACGTAGAAATGTAAAAATGTGAAAATGTGAAAATGAAAAAAAAGTGAAAATGTAAAAATGTGAAAATGTAAAAATGTGAAAATGTAAATATGTAAATATGTAAAAATGTAAATGTTCTAGTGTTGAGTGCTATAACCCTAGTTTTCTGGGGGAATCTGTACATTTTCTTTGAATGACCTCCAAATTTTTGGAAGTGCTGAAGAATTAATGTAAACCAAGGTTTCGCTCTCCAGCATCTACATTGGTGTGTACAATTGTCTATATATGTCTATGTATAGTCTCTGAACACGTACTCTAACACCTTCACACGGGGATACAGATATCTGCCAGCACTTCACCCACACTGAAGAGCTGTGTGGCGCACCTTGGGGTACAGACTGCAAAGGGGTTCAGGTATAGAGCCTATAAGATTGCTCTGGATGTAGAAAGTACATAGACTCTTACTCATTTGAACAACCAGCAGATTCCATTCTTCAGGTAAATCTTCCCCGCCTCCCCTTTAGCAAGAGCATGTTTGTGGTGAGCTATTAATCATTTCCTCCGGCACAGTGTATATAAGAGGAACCCAAGGCAGAGGCACACACAGTTCACCCAGCTGAAGTGCAGAGCCACCGTCGCGATGCTGGTCCAGGTCGTGGCTTTGCTGAGTCTGGGGCTGCTCTGCAGCTCGGCGCCAATGCCCGCCACCGGACCCACCGGCGCCGGGAGATACTCGCCGCAGGAGGAGCGCTCCAGGGCTTTGGTAGGACTGATCATTCGAGAAGTTCTCCAAGACATGCAGAAACTAAATTTAAATGCAGTAAGTTCCTTTATTTTGAACGGCTTTCACCTGGCTGCCTTTTCTATCCCCCCAGTTTTATTTCGAAGTTGCTGACTTCATTTTCTCTTGAGCAGGTTCCCAGCGTTGTCACGGTGAATGCTACGGTAAGAAACTGCATACTTTTCTCCTCTTTAAAATTATTGTCTCAAATCCCCAAATTTCTTTTCCACTTCAGAACTCTGATAGCACTAAGATAGCTCTGGGAACCCAGGAAAATGCAAAGTTGTTGCAAGAACCTGCAGAAAGCTGCTGCCAATGCTAATATCCTTCAGATGGCTCTCTCAGTAGGCAAAGGTCTTATATGTGCATTGGCATCTTCTTGATAGCGTCAAAATTCACTCTGAACCCTTAGTTTTAGAACAGTCCACAACCATTATTTGGTCTGTATCCCGTACAGAGCCATTGATTTCACTGAGCTGCATTTTCCCGAAAGCCAGTGAAAAAAAGAATGAGCTTTTTGTGGAGGAGATGAGCAGTACAAGTGAGAAGAGCCCATCTCCCATTCAAAGTGAATGGGAGACAAACAGCATCAGCCCCTCTTACTTGTGTGGAGAAAGGTTGAAAATTCACACCTGTGGCAACAATTACTTGTATTTCATGAAGACAATCCTGATTTAGCTTCAACAGAGACACAACAGCAAGAAATGAAGCCCTGATGCAGAGTTGTGCTTGCGAGGATGCCTCCGCTGTTGGACACGTCTAAGTTGTACATGTCCAGTTTACAGCAGCACCTGCAACTTCCACTGAAGGCAGTGGGAGGGGTTTTTTTTTGTCCCTGGCATGTTTTTAAATGAAAACCATAGATTTTACTATAGTTTCCTAAATTTGGCGTCCGGCTGAATACAAAATCAGGGGTTGTGTTTGAAAACACAGCTCTTCATTCCTGTAGGTTGGTGTTTTTCATGGGTATGTAAATTCCCAGGATACGATGCGTTATTTGTGTGGTACCGATGTATCAACCCAACTGTTGAAATAACTCTCCGCTGGCCTTGCAGGTGGAAAGATGTATGCACAGCCACCTGAAAACCTTCTCTGGCACCTTGGCAGCTCTCGACAGGCCGAGCAAAGTCATCGCCAGAAAACTGGCTACAGTCAACGCCTACAAAAACATCCTCCCCAAAGTAAGTTTGACTCGGCGGTATCCGACAGCTCAACGTTCAGCAAAGGCGGCTCAATCCCGGGGCACAGCGGCAGAGACAGGCACTGGTTTGGCTGCGACGGGCACTAGAAATCTCTTCTGATAATTAATATAATTAAGAAATCTTCCTTGAAACACTCTCCCTTACGGAGGCATGTGCTGCCACCTTTCTGCACAGTAATCTCAATTGCAAGAAAGATAGTAACATGAAAACACGGCAGATGTGAGCAGAAGCTGTGGCAGCGGTGGGTCTCTGGGCATCCTCTGCGTGCCGCCTGGTTATCAGCTACCGTCCGCACATCGTCATGCTGCCGCGGGGTTCCCAGAGCCCAGCTCACCCCGCACTCCAAAACACACGGGGACACTGGGATGTTATAGTCCATGCTCTTAGTATTCTTTAGAAAATGGATGTATCAAACAACATAGGCTGAAATATTTAAGTTATATGGCTGAATTGTGTTCTCTTTTCTCTCTGGTTTGTTTTTTTTTTGAAGGATCTTGATAAGGAATGTAAGACTGTACAAGTAACAAGTGATGTGTTCCTGGAGACCCTGGACAGTTTCTTGAGATTGCTCTCTGAGAAAATCCAAAACGCCTAAATAGAACAACTACACCAAACCCAAGAAGGAACGAAGAACCTGAACTCTACTCCAAGAAAAATGTGATTCAGCTATTAACTTATTCTCAGGAATATGGCCACAAAATATTTATATAGAGAGATATATATTGTGTATATATATGTATGTTTTTAAAATATGTATATGTATAAAAAGTGATGTTACAGCAGCCATGTTCTCTTTAATATTTGCAACATGCTGCTCCGTTAAAAGACAAATATTGAGAATAATATTTAAATATTTTATATAGTTTTAATATTTTAAGTTTTGTCCTACTGACTCATAAAGACAGAGCAATTTTATTTATTTATTTATTTATTTGTTCTATTTATTTAATTCATTTATGGATACTTTGAGATATTTATTTATTGTGATGATGCTGTATTTAAGTTTTTACTTTAGGAAACCGCTGTTTAATGGTGTGTGAGGAGGAGCTCTGCGGATCCGGCTTCGGATTTGCTGTCACACTATATCTCTAGCACACTAGCCCAAGCCACAGCCCCCGGGCTCGGCCCCGCAGCGCCTGAGTGCTCTCTAAGCTGGGGCAAAGCCGCCCTGTGAGATGGGGACAGGGACCACCGGTGCCACCCAGCACCTGCACCTCCCTCTCGGCCCCTGGACCAGCGCTGGGGCTGGAGAAGATGCGCTTATGGTTGTGAGCTCCTGCCTCTGCTCGCTCCCCGCGTGTTCGGTTTCTGCAGATAACTTCGACCACTACATGTTTTATTATTGACTAAGCAGAGCCACGTCACCCAAATCTAACCAGATTCTGGATAATACAAAAGCAAACAGGGCTCTGATGGTCTTGTTTCCTTTTCCTCAAAGTTTATTCAGCTGATATGAGGTGTTACCCACATCTCATGTGAGCTTAGTTTTACTGAGCTGAATCAGGCAACACTTGTTTTTCAAATTGTTTTAGTATCCATAGCTATGGGAGGTACTCAGAATGTGTGTACCCATGTAAAATTATCAGTTTAGATTCCCAAAGTTAATATTTAATAAAATAATATTCAAGAGGAATGTTACTGCTCGGGCTGGTTTCTAAGGACGCGTGCCATGTGTCGCCTATGCTGACGTATCCGTTACTAAATATTTGTAACCTTCCACGAGAATGCAAACGGACCTTTACAAAAATAAACAAACTTCCTTCCAGAATTAAGCGGCCTCTATTTGTGAAGGGTGGGCGGTTTCAGAGCTGTCCAGGGGAGCTGGGGGCGATTTCCAGGTGGGACGGACACACGGATGCTGCCGGGGATGGTGGAGGTGCACCCTGCTCAGGGTGAGCCCCCCACGTCTGCCCTCGCCCATCCCGGTGCCTTCCCCAAGCTCAGTTTTACCGACTCTCACTGCACTTGAGTTTGTGAGACCCTCTCACCTGCTGGGGTGGCTCATTCCCGGCTGCGCCGTGTCCCTGCCTCGATCGCAGTGCGGTGAAAGCAGAAGAGCTTTCACTTGCCGCAGCCGAGAAGCATCCCCCCACCTTCCCCAGCGTGGGAAGCTCCCCGTGCGGAAAACTTGGGAAGCATCCGTGTTCTTTGAGAGGCTGGGGATGGAGGGGACAGCCCAGCTGGGGCAGGAATGAGCGCCCGGAGAGCCAGAGACATGCAGCCACCGCAGCGAGTGCCGGTGGAGCACACCCCGAGTTTCAGAGACTTCCAACGGTCAAGCCAAAAGCAGCCGTGCTTTGTGTCCAGACGGCATCTCCCCCGTGCAAACGGTGTGCGGCAGAGCCCAGCCGGGTCGGATGGATGGACTTCACCCCCCACCGCAGGAGAAGCGGCCCCAAAAGCCCCCACAGGGGGGACGCAGCCACCAGACCTAGAAGGGGCGAGTGCCCCGACCGTCCCTGGGTACCACCGACCCCCGGCTCTGCGGGCAAGGCTGTCAGGGCATCGGTTTGTATTGAACTCTGATGGGAATCAGGAAACCTGGAGATAAACCCAAGCCGTGAATCTGTTTACTAAAACCAGAGAAATGGAGAGCGCATGTCCAGACGGACTCGCTCAGCTTAAACACAGTCAAGAAAATCCCCGGTCCTGAGCGCAGTCTCGTTCAGCGCTGCAATAGTTCAAGTAATAATAAGAACCACCCTGAAGAGACTCTTCCTGCCGTTGGACTTAGAAGTTTTTATTAGCAATGAGGTGTTTAATTTTTCACATACATTATTTTAAGTTTCATTTAAATATTTTACATTAAATTTTAAATTCACCTTAAATTTTAAATTCACCCTTCAGATAAATGGGAAGTCACGGAATCGCAGGTATATGAAAAAGAGAAGAATGTCAGGGTTTTAAGTAGAAAACATTAA